ATTGTATAAATCTAATTGGCTTCATTCTTTAAGTTACTTCATCAAATATTCTAGGGAATACAAAAATGAATAACACATTGTATTTGCCCTTTTGCAGTTTATAGTCGAAGGGGAAAGATAGTGTAAAATAATGGAATTAATAAGAATAAATGTGTTGAATACTCACCATGTGGTAGGAATTTGCTAAGGGCTTTATATGCATTATTTAATTTCATGCATTGTCCTTGTAGTAACACTAATGAGGCAGGTACTGTTGTTCCCATGTATAAATAAGGATTCTGAGGCTCAGGTTAGAAATAATTTACCTAATAAGCTATGAAGTGGCACAACCTGGAATCAAAACTAGCTTTGTCTTACTCTAGAACCTATAATGTTATCTATCATCATATGAGGCAGAGAAACAATCATATTAAAGGAGCTCACATATTCCCAGAAAGATTAAGAAAGATTTCTTTAAATGCCACCCAAAGTAGAGTTTTTTTTTTCTTTCAAGTATTTTTTTTTATTGGTTGTTCAAAACATTACAAAGCTCATGACCAAAGTAGAGTTTTAAGATTGGTTTTGATGTTGACATTACAAGAAAGTATGTAAAAGCCATATTCTGTCAGAACAGAGTAAGGTGGAGTACAGATAGACCACAGTTAGACACCTGTTCTGGGCCAGGCAGTGCTCTTCTCTCATGGAGTTTACATAAGTTGAAGGATACAGAAAAGATATAAATCTAAAAGATGTCAGTGGTAATAGATGTCAGTAATAATAAATGCTATTAGGAAAGCAAGGAAACAGAAGATGAAAGAATAAGGTCATGTTTTTAAGAGTGTTATCAGGAAAGCTCTGCTAAGACAGTTATTTGGGGTTGGGTGAGGAAAGATTACATTCCAATAGAATTTAAAAATACAATCAATTAATGAAAAAAATTGCATTTAGTATGCATTATAATAAAAGAATCAAGATACTAGATTGTCTCTAGTATAAGACAACTATTGGGGGCAACATCCTTGGGCATCCTACCTATGAGGTGTCTTCAAATGTTTCCCAAAGGGCCTATGAAGTGACAACAATGAGCTCTCCTTTATGACTTGCTGGGGCAGGTCTGGTTGAATTGCCCTGGGGAATCTACCTTTCTAGAGACCTCTCTGCTAATTAATCTGGAGGTTTGGCTTGAACAACAAGAAAAATGAACTTGTAACTTACTGAGATGAATAAAAACTATGAAAGAGTAGTTTTAGTGGTGGTAATTGAATGGAAAAAGGAACCAGAATTCAATTTGGTACATATTAATTTGAAATGCCTTTTAAATTCCAAGTGGAGATATGAAGTAGGCCATTTCAAGACTCTGTACTTGAAGAAAGACATTCAGTCTACAGATATAAATTTGGGAGTTGTTAGTCTATAAATGGATTTTCAAACTGCAGAACTAGATGGTGGATGGCATAACCAGTAATATGTGTATGAGAAAAGTAGATGAGAACTGAGCCCTGGAACATTCCAATAAGTGAGAAAGATGAGAAGGAAGCGGCAAAAGAAACCAAGTGTGGTTTTTCAGAGAAGGTGGTCAGTTCAAATGTGTCAAAAGATGCCATCAGGTCAAGTAAAAGGGAGACAGAACTTATCCATTGAATGTGACAACATGGAGGTCAGATAAGAGCTTTAAGAGTAGAGTGGCAACTGTTTGTTCTCATTGGTTGAAGAAGAATGAAGGGAAAGGAAGTGAACATCATGAATTGTTGCCTATAAATGGGAACAAGAAATGGTTGAGTAGCTGACGGGTTTCAGAATCAAAGCAAGGGTGGTCATGTTGGTAGGTGGTGATTTATCAGAGTTATTTAGGATGACACATACAGCTAAATAAAGAGTGAATTATGTTGAGAGAACATTGAAATAATGTCTTTGACAAAATGAGGAAGTCCAAGAGCAGATTATTGACCTTAGTTATGAGCAAGGATGCTTTATTCATTGTAAGAAAGGATAAATTAATATATGGGTACAGGTTCAGAAAGACTAGTAGATGAATAATTTAGTAACCTCTGATATTTTCTACTATCTCAATTAAATAAGAGGGTAGGTTATCAGCTGAAAAGGGAAAATATATGTGGGAAGTTTGTTTGTTTGTTTTTTAAAAAACATATTCAGCTACTTGAGCATAAGTGAAGCAACAGGTTTGATTTTTCCAAGGAGAAGGTCAAGGAAAGAGCTCTAGGGGAAGTGGGATGAATGCAAAGGAATCTAAGCCAGATAAAGAAGTAAGAATATATGAAGGGCTGAAGAATCATGTAAAGGTAGAAGTGTTAATGGATTGGAAGTCTTGGTGTGATTGAACAACCCTTATAATCAAAATACTGAAAAGAACCGAGCCAGAAAATTAAAATATAGTTTGAAACTGAAATAATGTATGAGGTACTATTATTCCTGTGGGTGCCTGCGGAGAGTGGATGAAAGAAGACATCAAGGAACTCAGAGGCCAGGGTATTAGATTTATCATCTATGTGGATGTAGAAACTCCAGAGAAATGTAAAGGGGAAAATGATGCAGAAACAGAAGTTATAATCTAGAAGTAAGGAGGAGAGAACTAAAGATCAATTAATAACAACAAGGACAGGTAAAGCTTAGTCTGATGGCACGAACCTCAAAGAACCAGAGGTTTTAAATAGAAGAGAAGGATACTAGTTTTCTAGTGCTGACAGGGAACAGGAACAACGCCTTATCTCCATATTTAGTAGTGATTTGAGGATGAAGAAGCGATATTTTTGGATTTCAGTTAGAGGCAAAAGATGAAGGGAAAGTTCACTGAAATTGTGAAAGATAGGATTTTTCAGAGACCACAATGGAAGGATTATAAAATGTTTGAGGAGTAGGTGAATATGGATGGGTCTTCATGACCAGGAATGAGCCCTTGGGAAATAGAGTATAATGGGAACAGTGATCACAGTGTCTTTGATTATGGAAATGACACTGATTTGGAGGAAAGAGAAGGGACTCACCAGGAAGGCAATTTAGCTAGCAAGAACTTAGGAGGAGCCTGCAGAACTCACAGGGTTCCCTCTTCAGTCATGCAGATTATGATACTGAGGCCAGGGGAAGTCTCCAGGAGCTGCTCCATCAATGTTTTTTACTTGAATATTTCCCAAAAGAATAAAAGGTGATAGTAGGAAAGGGAATAGAAAGAAGGAAGTTGGGGGCTGGGGATATATGGGGATGTAGCTCAGTGGTGGAGTTATGTTCTTAGTAGGCACAGAGGCTGCAAGTTCAATCTCCAGTACTGGGGTGGTGGGGGGGAACGGACATTAAAGCAACAAAATGACTACAAAAGTGTAGTTTAATTTGATTCTGGAGGGATAAAGATATACTTCTGCCCTTAAAATATAATCTTGGTAGTTTAGTTTGGAGCCCAAATACCTGAATTTAAATCACGTCTCAATAGCTACCTGGCTTTGGTTAACTTTCTTGATCTATTCGTGCTTCACTGTATTTTTCTATAAAATGAAAATTATAATAATATCTACCTCATAGAGTCAAATGAGTTAGTATCTGTAAACTTCTTAGCATACTGCCAGGCACCACATAAACACTAAACAATATAGATTTTATTGTCATTGTTGTTGTTTTATCTAAACCACTCATAACAATGTCCTGCATAAAGCAAGCACAATATAAATACTTAGGGAGAGAACTGTCTGAAAGTATAAAGGCATGCAATTTTACGTTAGGTGGGCAGAATAAGATGTTGTCTGTGAGCATGAAAGGCAAACTAAAGAGCTGGAGAGAAAAATCAGATTTGGATCTGTTAGCACTGATCTGGGACAGTTCTGTGTGATAGGAAGAAAGGACTTAGAATAATGACATGAACGGAGTAAATGGACTCGGCATCGGGGAAAACTTCAGGAAAATGGTACATTTGAGGTGAGATTTGAAGGAAGTGACCTGAAGAGACAGGAAAGAATCATAAATTCTCAGGGGTGATTATAACAATCTGCTAGTTAAGCTCTCAGGCTTTCTTTTGCATGGTAGGATATTCTGGATAGGCTTAAGTCTCCTCAGATAGAAGCAATTTAACGTTGTTTTAAGCAATTTAACGTTGTTTTTCTCTTTTTGTTTATCATATTTTAATCCTTTAAAATGTGTGACTAATACATGAGTACTTTGTTTATAATATTATGTGCCTTACTTTATAACATTTTTTCTTTCTTTCTTTCTTTCTTACAAAGCTTGTAATCACTTGAGTACAATTTGGGAAGATGCACAGGTTCTATATAAATCAATTAAGAATTTTTTAAAAAGGATCAGTCATCTGAATAGAAAAATCCTTATGTTTAACGGGAGATGGCAACTTCCAGTTTCAAAAGTACTTATTGACATTGGATTCCATTTACATATCATAAAATCTTAAACCATTTTCTCTGCATAGGAATGGACAGGCAGATTTGGAGACCTATTTTCCTAAAGCCGATAATGCCCTTACTTCTGCCAACTCAGTATTGTTATGTTGGAACAACTTTATCTTCATCTTTCAATGGAGAAAAATATGTACTCCTTCATCTTATCAGTTATTCCTAAATCAAGTACATTGGCACACGATTTTCAACCTACTTGGGTCTTACTCTGACCAAAATAACACTGGCAAGAGTGCTATTTCCCTATATCCAAATTTGTGGTAGAGATTGCTAAAGCATTCTTAGAACTGATTCTCACCAATTGTGTGTGTGGTTGTTATAATTATTACAACAGCCCTATAGGGTGTAGAGATGAGGACACAGTGAATCAAAGAAGAAACTTACTCAATGTCATAACAGCTAAAAAGCAGGAGAACCAAGATTCAAATACGGTTCAACTTTTCTTCCAAAATCTCTCCCTTACTCATTGTCTTTTAATTACTGGTACCAGTGGTGAAATGTCATTGCATTACTGTGACATGTTTGACAATTTATAACAATATAGATGTTTTTGTAGGAATAAAGAAGGTGAGCCAGACTGTGGAAAAGAGGAGATTACAGACAATGATAATGTCAGGCAACAAGGAAAGGAAGAGTGAAGAAGTTCCTAAAGATGGTAATGAATCAATCTTAAGAAATAAAAAATTAAAAGAACATCAACAAAAAGTAGTACCAAAAGATAATTATGTTAGAAGGAATAATAAATTAAAGTAGAAGGAAGCAGTTATATTTCACTAGGAAGAAATGTACTCAGTGTTTAGAAAAGCCATAACAACCTGAAAATACAGGCCTATGTTGAAAATCCATCAACTGTAATTGCTATTGAGTTGTTGTGGTGACGCTATAGTATATGTGCAAGTGGTCCAGATTAAAAAAAATTAGGTCAATCAAAATATTTATACTCTTCCAGAAAAGAACAGTTATGGCATTGCAGAAGACAGCTTTGAGTTGCCTGAATTGCCTACTATTATTGCCTTTGATTTTGATTTTGTCTAGAATCAGGGAGGATTACCAATCCAAAATGTACTTTTCTTTTATATCAGAAAAAAACACCTAATTTTTCATGTTCCAGTATAGAAACATAAGTGTCTTAAAATGTCTGCATTTAGTTTTTATCATGAACTTTATTCTTTTGTCTAGCTGTGGGTAAAGAAGATACATCATCATTAACTGAAGTTGTAAAACAAGTTGCAAAACAACAACAATCACAAACATCAGAAATAGAAAGAAACAAAAACGTTCTGTTTCATTTACAGGTAACTTATTTCATATAATCTTTTAAATGTCTTCAAAATTTAATAGTGACAAAAAATTTTAAAAGAACTTCATATTGGGAATCAATTTTAATTACACTATACTATCAGTCAACAAATATATGAAAAAATGTTCATTATTGCTAGCAATTAGAGAAATTCAAATCCAAACTACTCTAAGATATCATCTCACTCCAGTTAGAATGGCAGCTATTATGAGACAAACAACAATAAGTGTTGGCGAGGATGTAGGGAAAAAGGTATACTCATATACTGCTGGTGGGGCTGCAAATTGGTGTAGCCAATATGGAAATCAGTATGGAAATTTCTTGGAAAATTGGGAATGGAACCACTATTTGATCCAGCCATCCCTCTCCTTGGTCTATACCCAAAGGACTTAAAAACAGCATATTACAGGGACACAGCCACCTCAATGTTTGTAGTAGCGCAATTCACTATAGCTAAACTAGGGCCCACTTTCTATTGAGAATTTTGCTAAACATTTTTCTCAACATTGTCCTTACCCTTGCATTGCTCATGATTTATTTGGGAAGGAGTCCAAGTAAACAAATAATTGCACTCATGGTGGTAGCATCAACAATAGAGGTAGTAGCCCAACATATTTAACACTGAAGAATGAGTGATTGCAAAAGAAGTGATGTTTCAATGTTGGGTTTTAAAAGACAGTTGGAATTCACTGATTGATTGGGTATCTTGGTCAGGTATAAGATTAAGGGAACATGGGATAAGGAGGATGATATTCCAGATTAACAGAATCTGAGAAATTCACAGAAGCCTGAAACAGCATTGTACATTCATAGAACCCTATGTGGTTTGATAATGGTATAGTATAGAGTATGTTTTGAGAAGAGGTGGAAGGTATATACTATGATTAAAAATTTGGACTTTATTCTAACAGTGATGAGAAACCTTTGGTTTTTAAACAAGAAGCAAATTAAAAATTGCTTTTATATAGAGAGAATTCTTTTAAAAATATATATAAAGTGCTTGTTATAATTCAACATCCATTCATGACAAAAATGTCTCAGAAAATTAGGATTAGAAGGGAACTTTGTCCATCTTAAAAAAAAAATCCTAAAGTCAACCATATACCTAAGGTTGGAAGACTGAATGTTTTTTTTTTCTTTTGTTATTTTTTTAGAAAAGTATATGACATTTTATTTTCACTTATGGATGTATAGTACACAAATTAAGAAATAAAATCATTACAGGGTTCTGAAATATTGATAGCTTATGACCTAACATACCAATAAGTCCATTCCCTGCAAGCAGCCACATTAGAGGTTCAGACTTGGTCTTTGATGCAGTAGTTTTCACATCATTACCATGAAATGCCCAGTAGCATGTGGATAATAAATTACAGTAGACATGAGCTATGTGTCAATATTCCATCTTTGGAACAAATTATGCTTATTTACATGTTAAGAATAGGTGGCTCTATCTACTTACCCTACTATGAGTTTTAATGACTGATTTTAAGCTACACAGGGTTTTCCAAACTATTATTTCTTTCAGAGCTTCTAAAAGCAACAATTCTTATTAATGTTTGTAAAAGATTATATTGGAAAAGATAATGTTAAAATGAAGGCGCTTTAAGAAACATTTAAGGACAACATAAGGTACTACTATTGGGAAAAAACCTGTACATATTTTCAAGCAAAACACTGAAATATAGTAGCAGTGTTTAATTGAATTGTTTCAAAATAGTAGTAACTACACTACCTTACATACTGTATTATTATTGAAACCTCATAATTACAATTTGAATATACAATCTGACTTACAATTTCAACTATGCACAGCTTCTGAAGCATATTTTTCAGGTTTGTTTTTGCACATGAATTGAAGTTGAAGTTGGTCCTTGATTTGGAGAACTATAACTACCTGGAAGCACTAAATTTTAGACACAGTTATTGATAGCCAACAAAAAAACGTGACAGAGAGAAAAGCAATAGTAACATGCGTGGAAAAGCAGCCGTTGCCCTAAGTGCAATATCAGATCTAGAGAGGCCTCTGGGTCTCAGTGAATAACCCCCAAAGAAACCAAAATATACAAGAGGAAGCAGCTGGCCAGTCAAGGGTATTTCCCACAATGGGACAATCCTTAAAAAGTAGAGGCTTTGGACCTTTAGCATAAGAGAGACACTTTCCATTCTTTGATTCCATGCACACCTGGTAAAAAAGACAGAAGTCTGTCTTGACCCTTCATCACATGTAAACTGCTGGTGCACTGCAGCAGCTCAAGCTGACTGAGGTGGAGGCAGCCAACCAGAAACTGAAGAATCCAGACCCCCATCCTCCTCCTCCTTCCCGTGAAGTCACAGACTATTTCATCAAGCCATCTGATGTAAGTAAGAGACTTACATTTTATAGACATAGTAGAGTTAGCTCATTGTTAAACTTCGAAGAAAAGTCCAAAGGTGTGGAAAAATATGCTTGCTAACGGTGACTGCATCTACAATGACAATAACGAAACAGCTAGAAAAATAATTGTACTGTTTTAAATAATGAAAGAAGCTAATTTTAAAAAATATATTACTAATCTGCAACAGCTGATTAACTTAACAATGAGTATATTCCTTTTCTGTGAGCTGAATTTGGGTTATTTTTCAATTATAATATAGCTTCAAATTATAAATATAACCATCCCAACAGTAAAGAGATCATCGAGGCAGTAACATCAGATCAATTTTACGTCATTACTTCACACAGAGCACAAGAGGTGCTTTTGGATAAAGGCTTTAAAAAGACAGTGACTAACTGTAGTAAAGACTCCAGTTCTACATCATGGAATCTTCCAAGCCAAGCAACTTTCCACAAACACAGATTCAGTCTATCTTTTCTTTCTGGACCAATCTAGCAGTATCAACAAAATCTTTGCCATTGTAAAGAATAATAAAAAATGTTCCAATGCTTGCAACTCTCCAGAAGAGTACATAAGCCAGTGTTTCTGTCCAAGTGTCACCAGCCATAAGCAAACAGATAATGCAGATTGAAAAGGCAACAACCATAATAATAGGCAAAGCCTGGAATTTCCAGTCCCTTGGAACACTTAAAGGACTAAGAGATTCTAATTCATCCACTAAATAGTTCCCAAGAAATAAGTCTATGGAATCCTGTCTAAATCCATCAGAAAAGTTGATCTTGTAATATCATTTGAGTGAGTTCCAACCATCCCTTATGAGTACTGAGTTCTCTTCTCAGTTCTGCTAAAGTCAGTCTTCAAGGTACCGGTTCCAGCATATTGTTTGGCACAAGCATTTGCTTTGTCAGCCCAGACATTTTTATAGATCTTCTCAAATTCATCTTGTTCTTCGAGCTTTTGTCCCACGTGCAAAGCACCTGGTCTCTGAAGCTGGGCCTGAAGAGACCGACGAGCTAACAAACTCAGGATCACATTGGTTCTATCCTAGACAATCCATACAATTGCTGGGGAACACACCTTCCTGGTTTGTCACCACTTTGCCGGCAGAGTCTACTAGAAAAATAACTTAATTCATCTTGAATTTCTGATACCTGATCCAATAAAATACTTAGTTGATCCCATCTCATACTTTTACATACCTTATGGAAGTCAAAGGCAATGTATCTGATCATTCCACTTCCCAAGGAAGACACCATTGTGCACAATTTGTTCTGTTTCTACAAAGTTAGCTGCATGGACTTCAGAATCAATTCCTCTTATATAATAATCCACGCCAGCTCTGAAACAACTCCTCCTGGAGATGAGAATCCAATTGAAGTATTTTCCATTGATAGAACATGAGTGCATAGTAATAAAACCATGTGACACTGGAAGAGCAAAATGATGAACCTCAGGCTGAGCAGACAGTTCTCTTAGAAGATGACCATTCCATACAAATCGCTGATCTGCCCGTTCCAAGAGACTCATTTCTTGCAATTCTGGACTAGTGTTGGACAACTGCTGCAAAGTATGGGTCAAATCATATGTTGTTGAAAAGTAAAACCCATCCACACTCAAGACATGGTTTAGCATCATTTTTATTATTTTATTATTTATCATTTTTATTATCTTGTAACTGAATATCAGTTAAGTGCAACATTATCTTCTTATAAGAAAGGACATCAAAATCTGTTGCTTTCCAGATTACATGATTAAAAAATTCACCTATTTTTGTATTTTTGGTAATGATGATAAGATAATTACCTGCCACCAGATGGATTGTGCCCAGTATACAAAATATTGGTCTTGTGACAGCTGAAGGAGGAACATCTTTCTTGGCTATCAGGGTGACCTCTGTGGACACAGGGTCAATGGTAAGTATGTCATCTGCTTCATTATCACAAGCTTCCACATAAAATTTTTCAGGTATAATTTGCAGCTTCAGCCGCTCGTAAGTCATCGCCGCCATCCTACACCACCACTTCTTCTTCTCTGCCTCGCTGGCCTGCCCTGAGCCTCACCACCACCTCTGCTAATGCCTACCTGTCACCCTGGTACCCTAGCAACCGTGCCCGCCTCACCCCATCCCTTTGCCACCCCACAGAAAGAACTGAATATTTTTTTCTTCACATGAGTAGGAATGCAAGGATATCTGCCCTTTTTTCTATTCAGGAAGTTACTGGGAGTTGGAGCCAGTACAAACATGTAAGAAAAAGAAACAAAAGGTATCCAGATGAGAAAGGAAGAATGAAACTTTCTATTCACAGGTAGCATGATTATTTTCAGAAAATCCCAAATAATCTACAAGAAAGCTCTTAGTACTAAAACGTAAGTTTAGGATAAAAGATTGATATACAAAAACGAACATTGATATACAAAACAAAACACTGTATTTCTATATATTGGCAGAAACATAGAATTCTATAATTTTCAGAAATTCTATAATTCTATAATTTTCAGAAATTAAAAATTTTGAAGCAATATCACTTACAAAAGTACCAAAACTATGCAATACTTAGGGATCATTTTGATATAAGGCTTATCAAATCTATATGTTGAAAATGTAAAATGATGATGA